ACATATATATATATATATATATACATATTTATCTACTCATTGAGAGTTAATTGCAAGCTATGTCATTACCTATCTTGAAGTTTTTTCTGACCATATCTGCATGGATTTTCCTACTCATGGTGTGGTTTGGGGACCAAGAGCATCAGCATTGTCAGAGAGCTTATAATAAATGCAGACTATCAGGTCTTAAGCCAGACTTCCAGAGTCTAAATCTGGACTTTTAACAAGATCCCCTGGTGATTCCTGTGAATGTTGGAGTTGAGAAGCACTGTTCTCAGTGTTAGTATAAGTTAGTGAAAATTTTATATTGCTTCAAACTTTTGAAAATAATGCTGTCTTTTTAATATTCTTTTTAATCATTTATTTAGGATTACTATAAGGAGAGAGGAATTCTTCAAGTCTCAAGAGTACCTTGTAGCAAATTACCTTTTCTGCTTCACCTAGTGGTATTCAATGGCCTGAAAGATGGAGCATTTTAACATTTTGCTGATTCATTGTTTGGCTTTACTCTCTTTTCTTTGTGCCACCATCCTCGGTTTTTACTCTCTTTTCATGAATAGCAGTTAACAGCCAAAYCTTAAGATTCTGAAGATCAGGGGTAGTAACCTCATTAATAAAGCCTTAGGGGCTGGGTGATGCCTTGGATTTTATTCACCAAGTCCTTTAGATCATGATGTATCTAGTAATGTGGTTTTTAGATAGATTCTGGTCCTTGAGGACCTTGTTGAAAATTCAGATTCTCAAGTTATGATGACCAGGACATTCTTGTTTAGAAGGACAAGAAKGCCTTGGAATCTGTATTCCACAGCCTGTTTTGCAAACCATTATTGTCCTTGGTTTCTTTTCTGTCCTGTCAAAGACCTTTCCCAACCCGATGTTTTCATTTGCCATATTGTCAGTAATTTCATTTATTTTTATGTCATGTGAAAAATTTAGGCAGCAGAGGATAGAAAAAAGAAAGCACTTAAAAATTCTCCAATTTTACTATAAAATGGGCTTAATACTTTAGTGCCTCTAGCGCCTAGTTCATTTGGTATGAGWGCTTTGAACACTTAAAAGATAAGATATGTGAATTGAGCTTATTTTTATAAGCTTGTTTTTAAAACCATCTTTTCTGTTAATGTGTTTTCCTTTTCAATATAAAAGGTCCTTTCTGAAAAGTTTCTTCTGCTATTTTTGCCTTCTTCTTGCTTATTACCCACCCCACTGTTGTCTGTGTTCAGACAGTTCCTCAGTACCTGTATCATGTACAGTTCCCCTGTATCATAGATGGTGTTGTCTGTGGTGGTTGGATCAAGAGCTCCTCTGTGGAGCAGATTTGAGGAGTTGCTGAGACCTGTCTGGAGTCAGGAGTTGTCCATTGGGACAGAAACGTCAAAATAGCAAACATAGAAGTCCTAGACACCTGCCTCAGATGTGATACTTTGTAAAGAATGCCCATCTGGGTGGGGCCTGGGACCTTGTATAATTGGCTAAAGGTACCAGTCAAATAATGGGTAAAAGATGTTTCTATTCATCTGTTTGGTGAAAGGATAGGGATGGCTCAGGAATATTTCTAGATTGCCAAATAAGTGGATATTAAATCTAATAATAATGACTTACATGTATTACTAGATACATCATGTTCTGAACTGCTTTGATAATTACACTYGCAAGACCTTCCCCAGCTCCCAGCACTTTAAATACAACACAGCTAAAGCACTTATTATCTTTGTTGCTCAGAATTTTAAGACTCTGGGTTTAACTACTATTGATGAAAAGGGAGTAAAGCTTAACAATTMAGCAATAAACTGCAATATATTCAATCACTGAGGCCCTTTGAAGCAAAGAAGGCATAGGGCATATTCCACCTGGAAGTGTCCTAAAGAAAAGAGTCTTCTAGGARATAAATTTGGTTTTAAAAATGGTGTATGTCATGGTTGAAGTGCATGGGGGAATGGAAAAGATGGTACCAATACCAATTTGTCGGTTGAAACTCCTGTGTAGAAAGAGTACCCATGGAGATTCACATGGAGCTGAGGGGCTTTGCTTAGTTTTAGGATTTACACTGGTTAACCCTATTTATTAATACTAGGGTTAATGTTCACAAGGACACATCAAGACACATTATTTTYRTTTTATAGTAGAGGAAACTGAGGTTCAGTCAACATTCCAAATCACACACATTATTAGAACTGAAGCTCAGGCATTCTGGTTCAAGAGTCTGTGCTCTTCAGTGTGTTAAATTTTTTTTCCAATAATAACTGAGAATTTGCCTTTTGCAGGGTTGGGGTGCTCGTGATTGAATCTAGGGCCRTGCACCTGCTGGGCCAGTCCTCCACMACTGAGCTTCACCCCCAGCTCTGCCCTCTGAAAACAAGGTTTTTTTTTTTTGCCATGCTGTGCTCTATGATTTTGTTTTTCTTCTCTGTATGTTGATTCTTTCTCTTTCTTGTTGCTCTAGCATTTAGTCTTTATTTCTTTGAAACAGTATCACTATAATCCTTAGGAATTTTTGCTCTAGAGTTACTCATTTTGATAGAAGTGACGGTGGCAACTTATAGTGTTAATTTATAGGCAGGAATCTCATTAGAGATTGAAGCAGAGATCTTACTATGCCAGGGAACCACAGACTCATTGGCATGCTGGGGCAATGMGTTCATTAGAATTGTGTTAGGGTGAAGGTCAATCAGAGATTGCTGATGTCCTTCCCAAAATGGATTTATTTTTTAATTCTCATAATTCAATAGGTTTTATACAATATCTTCAGTAGAGTATTTCTTGTTTACATTTTGCCTTTACCCATTTTTATGCATAATTGTCTGCACATTATGGCCTCATAAACAGATGATTTTAGATTCAAGAGCYTATCTTCCATTGAATTGTACTGGAAGGTGGTTAGGTTAAGAATGTTGTTTGGATGAGGTTTCCAAAGATTCCAAGACCTGGATCTTAGTTCTTTTCTGTTTTCCTTTGTAATCTTAGTCTTGTCTTGATTTTCTAGCTGTGACTTTTGGTGGCAAGAGTCTTACTCATGGTCAYAGACATCTTGCCTTAAGGATGGGATTACTTTCACTTGAGAAAAWTAATTTTATTGCTGTGTTTTTATGATCAGTTCATGATCATATCACTTGTCATTTGTTGTACTTATCTTTACTACTTAATGAAGAAAAATAGAAAGGATTGAAAACARTCTGGTTAAAATGTAAAATTAAATTTACCCAATGAAAATTAAGATTTTAATCATAAATCACATTAAATATTCTTAACAAATACTTACTGAGATTTTGTTTTCTTGCATCTTTGAATTTTGCTTCTATAAAATAAGAAAATTCTTTTGGAATTCACAGTATTTAGTTTCCTTTTAAGGAAACTAAAGTTATTAATTCAGAAACTATCACTGCCTCAAAGTGACCACAGCTTGCAGCTGACCATGCTGCTCCCTGCTTATTGCTTCCCTTAATCTTTGAAGATAGCCACCATCTTCACAGGGACCAGTGATACTCTCTCTGGATGGCCCTTTCAGCTTGTTGATTGCCTTTCTTCCTCTTCTCTGTTCCTCTCTTGCTGCAGTGGCCTCTTTACAATGTCTCAGACTTGCTAGAAAGGGCTTCTCTCCCCCTACCTCTTCCTCCAACAAGAATAGCTCCTTTTCATCTTTTGATTTTATATCCTCCCTTAGAAAGTTCTCACCGACGTCTCTAAGCAATCTCCTTTCCCTGCTACCGTCTTACCATTTCATTCTCAGCACATGTCACCCTTCGTACTTATATATTTATATATAACGTTATTTGAAGCTTGTCTATAGATGAGTAGGCAGAGTGGGCATAGTCCCAAGTGGGCAAGGAATATGTATGGTTTATTCACATATGTGTCCCCAGTGCCTGGCAACATAGAATTTTGATGATTATCTAAAAGTATATAATATGACTCCRTACCTTTAAGTGATGGCTTAGAAAACTTATGTTGTAACTTTGTGGGTAACTCTTAGCACAGTTTGTCAGGAAGTAGAAAGTGTTTCACATAATTTTTGTTTGGAGAGCTAACTAAGGCTTTTATAGTTAAAGAAAGAATGCCTCATTCCAAGTTGTTTGTGTACCTTTCTGGTATGCTTTTATAATGCAGTACCTCGGTTCTTCTTTGTTAATCAAACATTTGTCCTAATATAGCAGAAACTCTTCTCTATCTAGCAGACAAGATGCTSTGCAGTTTAACAATACAGTCTCCTTATTTTATTTCTTTTAAAAAGAAAACACATGTGCGCCCTTTTAATAAACATGTCTTTACAGCAAYTATCATGCTCTTTGACACCCAGTAGAGATACCTGTCTACATAGATAGGTAGAATTTGTTCAGAAAAAAGTTAGGTCTTAAATACATCTTACTTTTTAGATTATGTAGATCAGATAAACCATACTTCATTGACTCAATTTAGATTTATGATAGAACGTTAGTTATAATCACTTAGAGTGCATTTCAATATGTGGAAAAGCTGTACAAAAGCATCTAAGCATTAGAGACGTAAGTGTATTCATAGTGAAGAAAACCCTCACTTTKTCTTAAATAAACAGAAAGTGAAAAGTCCATTGATGAAATCATGTATAAAAACATATGAATATCGACTTTACTAGTCCAGAATTGATTATTATCCATCAAGATAAAATGAACAAAGCAGGTGATTCGATAATAAAGCCAACCAACCGGTTCTAATGCTAATCAACTGGAATGCGTGCGCACAAGCGTGTGTGTGTGTGTGTGTGTGTGTGTGTGTGTGTGTGTGTGTGTTGTGTGTATACCTGTTCCTGCTACTGTAACAAAAGGGAACTTCACATTCTTTATATAGAATTGAAAATGCCAGTTAATTAAGTTCCACTTTCTGGGTGTTGAGAATATTGTATTTCATTCTGCCTAGTACATTGTGTGAGATAAAATTCAGGTGCTTAAAGACCATCTGAAAAAGAAAAAAAAAAAACAAACCCTTCAGAATGCTGGATTTCCATGGACTGTTTTCTTCTCTTCCAGGAGAGCACACAGCTGCTACAAATGCCGTCAGTGCAGCTTTACAGCTGCTGACACTCAGTCACTACTGGAGCACTTCAACACTGTTCACTGCCAGGAACAGGACATCACTACAGCCAACGGCGAAGAGGATGGTCATGCCATCTCTGCCATCAAGGAGGAGCCCAAAATTGACCTCAAGGTCTACAGTCTTTTGAATCCAGACTCTAAAATGGCAGAGCCAGTTTGCGAGAGCGTGGTGAAGCGGGAGAAGCTGGACGACAAGGACGGGCTCAAGGAGAAAGCTTGGTCTGAGAGTTCAGGCGATGACCTTCGCAGCGTGGCTTGGAGAGGGGCTGACATCCTTCGCGGCAGTCCATCCTATACTCAAGCAAGCCTGGGGCTCCTGACGCCTGTGTCCAGCACCCAAGAGCAGACAAAGACTCTCCGGGATAGCCCCAGTGTAGAGGCTGCCCACCTGGCGAGACCTATTTATGGCTTGGCTGTGGAGACCAAGGGATTCCTGCAGGGGGTGCCAGCCGGCGGAGAGAAGTCTGGGGCCATCACCCCTCAGTATCCTGCATCGGGAGAAAGCAAGTCCAAGGATGAGTCCCAGTCCCTGTTACGGGTAGGAAGGTTTAATTTTTAAAATAATTCATATATTTTGAAGGGAAGATGGGGGAGCACAAAATCTCTACATTTAGTACTATGTTTTGTGAAATGAGCTGTATTAGTTTGGGGATTTATACTTAGAAGGCCAAAGTGGCAGGACGTAGCTCCCTGTGTGTTGGTGTGTGCTCTATGCATCCTCCGCATCCTGGTGGGCTGTCTCATGTTTGTCTTCACTCTTAGCTCAGATTGAACATCGGTTAATCATTCCTGGTGATTATGCAAAACAACATAGCCGCCTTTAGAGAAGGGAGGTTTAGAATCCCAGAAGGATGCACATCTGTTCCATTAAACTAACTGACTTYTCAATTTTAAGGTGGTGTGACACAGTGTATGGTTAATAAGGACATTAGTAGAGATTTAAATCACTAAGAATGTAAACTCCTGGGTAAGATGTTAATAYAGAAATGTCTTACTTTTTAAACCCAGAGTATAAATGTGTACAAATAACAATGCTTGTTGCCAAGAAGAAGGGAAAAGATGAGAAAAATCTCAACATGAATGGTATGAAGAACTTACAAAGAAGTGTACCGTGCGCTGTATATTATCAGGACCGTTAGGGAGAAAGACCTAGTTCCCTGTGGTAAAGCAAAAGCAAAACCTCTGAGTGAGAAAGATCCCCTATTTCTCTGTTTGCGCTGTGTAGTCTCATCATTATCAAGAAATATTTTAACTTTTGAAAATTCACAAACTCCCAGTGATACTTGCTTTTTGCCTAAGGCACCACCAGTTCAACATTTCACCTTAATGCTGAGAAAGTTTTGAGCTTTCTGGATGATTTCAAAGCTTTATTTGTGTCTAGAAGGTAGGATTGGAAAGTAGCTATCCTTTACAAAAAAGATCCAGTTAGGAAAGACTTCAGTCAGCCCAATGATTGCACCTTGGGTTAGAGATCACTGAGGTCTCTCTGGATGTATACTGGAGAGAACAATTGCTCTTCCCAGGTCTGCTTAGCGGCTCTGCTCTCATTTCCTGCAGAGCCCCTGAAGCCCATCTGTGCTTCTCAGGTATTCTGTAGTGGAGCTGAGAAGCACRCCTTAGAGGTGCRTGGTTAATTATGAAAGTGTTACTTTCCCTCCCTCTAGTGATGCCCTGGAGCTAACAGAAGGCCTTGAATACAGAAGAAGGCATGCCCCTCATACACTGAGAAACAAAGACTTTTTGCAGAAGGAACAGATTTGTTATAAGTAATTGTAGAAAGAAGTAGTTTCTGTGCCCTTGGAGGGAGGGTGCAGTTCAGGAAACCTCCTTCAAATCACTACATATGGAGTTTCATTTGTCTAACTGTAAATACCCATTGTTTTCTTAGCATGTCCATACTCCTCTGGTCTCATGTGACTCTTCTGGCTTCTGMTGGTAAGGCAGGGATGCAGAATCCTGGGCTTTGTTAATTTTTGTTGGATCTTGAGAGTTGGTCTACCTGGGTGCCTCCCATTGCACTCCAAGAGTCCCCTCCCTTCTTCTCCCACCAAAAATTGTTCTCATCTGTGCCATCCACATTTGCTGCCAGATTATTTGGCAACTTTTTTGACCATTTCTGGCATATCAGTTTTTTTTTTTTTTTTCTGTCACCTTCTGTATATTCTGTAAACTTGGAATAATAGTTGATCAAGCAGTGGAGTAAAACACCTGAGCAAGTAGTGACTTTTTTTTTTTTTTTTTTATTTGAGCAAGCCGGGGGTGATTGTACTTTTCTAAAAAATTGTTTTTCTCAATTCCTCCACTTCCTTAATTCCCTCACTCTGAGTTTCTGTTGCACCATTTCAACTGTCTTTTCAGTTCCTCCACATTTAGCTGCTGAGGTAGGAAATCTTCAGCAACGAAGAGCCAAGTTTGTAGGCCTCTGATTTGTGATCTTTAAAGGCTATCATCTGCTAAATTCCAGGGAGTACGCGCACACATGTTAAAAAGAGGCTTGAGTCATTCTGTGAATTTAGTAAAAATTGAATCTTTAAAAATTCACATTTCACATTTGAGTAGTGCTCTGGGAAATCACCAGTTTAATGGGTATTTGGACTCAAAAGAGTAGTCAATTTAGTTTATTGTGYAATATTTAATTTATTAAGTGAATTAAAAATTTTTGGCATGTACATATTTTAGCCAATGAGCTTTTTGATCTGTAAGAGYCCATTTTGTTTGGAAATGAGCCCATTTTCTTTGATAAGAACTCTACTTTAGAAGTGAAAATTGGTATCCTTAAAGTTACAGAAATACACACTTCTCAATTCTTTACCCTTCATAAGTAAGGGGAAAACCCAGCAGAAGAGCAAGTCATGCTCACTAAAGGCAAAAAATAATGTTCTTTAATTTTGTAGTTGCAATGGTCTTATTATCAGTGATGGTCGTATAATGAATGATTTATAAACAGAACATAAATATACAAATATAATTTTCATGTCTTTAATAGAACACAGTGGTCTGTGTAAAGATAGAATTCAGTTTTCATGTTTGAGTTTAAATACTAGAGTGGAACATGCAATTAACTGCTTTGCTGCTGGACACATTTACTCAGAAATAGTAAGCAAATTAAGAAATGGGAAATATAAGGTTTTAAAAGTTTTTTTTATTAAATAGTAYRTTCAACATAGCATTAATTGAGCATGTGATTAGTAAATACTTTTATACATAGTATTTCTGATACTAAAARGCAAAACTTAATTTTCATTTTTAAATACTGTTCAGAGTGATATGAAAATTAAGTATGAAAAATTGTCTATTAGAAAACATTGATTTAAAATAATCAACACTATCAGGTAAATAATAGAAATATTTTTGAAGAGTAAAATGAACATAAGTAGGTTATGTTACAAAGGACACAGTTAAAATGCTGCTTTCAGAATATTAGTCTTTCTGGTGTTTTTTTTTTGTGTGTGTATGCTAGTTTTAGTCATGATAGTTTATTGTACTTTTGAAAGTGAGGAAGGAAATACAATCAGATGAAGAGCTAAAATTTCAAAATGGTTTTCATTAGCATTTATAGTTTTTTCCTTTCTTTTCTTTTTATCTCCTAGATCAGTGTTTGGCTTTTAATTTTGTGTTAAGTAGCAGATCATTTATATATGTTTTTATTTCATCTCTATTTTCCCCTTATTTTTAGAACGAAAGTGATCTTGTTAAAAATTTTAAGTTGTGCCTATCACCTGTGTTGATTCTAGTGCTTTGAGTGTGAGGAAGGGTGATTAAGTGAAACACTATATTGTAAAATGCTTTGTGAAAACTAGGGTTTTTGTTGCATATTAACCACATTATTTCTATAAAATCTTTTGAATATTTTCTTTTAGGAGTAGGAAGAAACATTAAAACTTTTAGAATCTCTGCTAGAAACAGTMCAAGCTCTTCTATAATAACTTTATGCTGTTTAAAAACTTATGGAAGAGATCTTAACTTCCAGATGTATAAGCTTGTGAATGTGATCGTGAAAGCTTAATATTTTGATAATCAAGTGTTTTAAAATTTGGTTCTGTTAAGAGGCTAAAATATCTAATATTGCTTKTGCTAAAAGTAAATGTCAGTTAGTTTTATATTTTCCAATAGATGTTTCTTTTTCATTTTAAACTGTTATAATATGRTGTAGTCCAGACTCATGCACAGTTTTATATCCTTTGTTGACTAGTTTCTTCTATAATGTATAATTACACAAAGGGATTTATTTATTTATTTTTAGACAAGCTCTTGTGCAGATGTAGCTGTACTAGTCTTATAATTGCCTGAATGATCAATTCTGGATTTCATTATTGCAGTGGAATTTCTAGATTAAATTTTATTACACAGAAAGTTATAATCTTTATAATCTTTCATCTGACAACCACAGGAATGGGGACAAAAAATGTTCATTAAATTTCACAAAGATTTTGCCAACATCAGGTGGACTTTTCATTCGATAATAAAATAATTATAAGTTTAATGAGTGCATCTGTATGGGGGAACTTATGGCAAGTTAATATTCAGGTAAATACCTCCCTGTCATTTGTCAAAACAGAATGTCACAGCCACATAACTCAGGCTCACATTTTTCCATGGGCTCTAACACTCAAGTTATTAGGCTACTTTCTCCAGTGCACCCTTGGGGGAATAAACTTCTTTGAAACTGATTTTGATTTCCTAGTAAATTTATTCAAGAAAGTCTGTCAGTTTTAACATGTACATTTTGCACTGCTTGATTTCAGCTGTGTGCTGCCATGGGCCTGTGGGAGTTGGGTTCCAAGTTGAGCCACTGACTGTCAAAGGCAGGGCCTCCCAGGAACTCTGTTCATCTGTCTCTTACAGAGGCTCCTCCTGCCTGCCATCCCACAGGAGTGTTGTGCAACTCAGTTAATTAATGTTTGTCAGGCCATTTGAGATCCTCAGATGCAAAGTGCTAGATAAATGAAGGTAGTCTGATGATGTGTTCATCTTGAAAATGTGATACCAAGACAGTACAATGCAGATGCTATTTCCCTCTTTCTTTAGCCGCCTTGTTAAATTTATAGTTTAAAGATTGTTGATACCGGMCCTTCTATTGAGATGCAAAAATGTTCTTTTGGGGACAGTCCATTGGCAGCCAAACAGCAGTTCAAACAAGCAGCAGTGCTGAATGCCTTTGCAACCACYGACAGGAACTTTTTAAACTAAAGATGGTCTCCAGCGAAAAGTGATACGCATTGTTTTGCTTTATAGTCAATGAAAATAAGGGAATAATTGAAGTCATCATGTAGGTTCTGTTTTCACGTTGATGTCAATAATCATTTTCTTGATCCCTTTGAAACTGTTACAATACCTGTGTCTAATTTGGAAGAGAATAGCCTATATTAGGAAAAATGGGAAGTATATACCTTTCTAATCACTGACTCTGAAACACTGATTTTAAGTTTCTCTTTAGGTAGCAGTTAATATTTTATTTGCCTAAGTAAAAAATAAACTGTTAAAAACTACTTATTGCATCCAGAGATTAACTAATCCTGTGTGTTTCTGTGCTTCTAC